CCGGCCGCTCGGGCGGCCGGATGTTCAAATTATGTGCAATTGTCGAAGCGAAGGCACAGATCGGGGGGAAACCCTGATGGCCGCGAGCGCGGCACCTCGACGTGTAGTGCTATCACCGAAGTGACTGCAAGGCGTGGGGAACGCCAACCCGCCGTATTATCTCCCCTAGGAGCGCATCCATCCGGGGCCACCGCCGCGGATGGATGCGCTCTAGGGGAGACAATACGGACTTGAATTGTGCGCCCGCCGCAGCGGCGACACGTGGCGCGCGAGGTACGCCTCCATTCCGTAACACCCCCTGTTAGGTCGCGTGCGCGACCCTTCGGTTCATTGCGCCTACACCGGAGTCTGCGAGTGCAGCTTGCTCGAGGCAGACCTCGGACCCTTTCGGCTCCCCTAAGGAAGGATTCCCTACGGAGTGGCCGCCCCCTGAAAAGGGAGAATAGCCTGGCTTGAGCGGGATCGTGAAAATTTGGAATGTCTCCACGCGAATATGCATACTCGCTGTGTGCCATGCAACGTGCACAGGCCCCATCCTCTCGCTCGATCTACGCTTGCGTACGGCTCTTCTGGCTCTAGAGGGTTGCTGTCGATGAGAGCTGGCTCGAACGCACGCTAGCGGATTGGTCCGATTACAACCCACTTAAATAATTTTATATGCGCAACTCTGAACCAGTCTTCACTCGGCCGTCTTGGCCAAGTTCTCGCGAGCCGAAAAGGTTCGTTGTCCCATGTCTACACAACCGATCACTGACACCTCATATTCCGTGAGCTCATTTTCGTGAGCCCGTGTCGTCGTCCGTTGTGCTGCTGTAGTCGGTCAAGCGCTTCGTCGCGCTGCGTGTCGAATCTGCACCTATATACTACGCAGTAAACTGCCGATTCTTCAAACTAGCAACAAGGTTGTCGCGCTAAAGCCAGCCGGAAGGACGTGAAAATTCACCACGGAGTCTGTCACGCTTCAGGGTAATCCACAGACCAGCGAATGTGCACATAATGCGATGTCTCCAGACGTCCTGGTAGTTGCAGAGCACCCAAGCAGTCAGTCGATGTTTTCTGATCCTCCGTGTTGATTGCTACAACCCTCGACTAAATGTCATTGCTGTCTAGAGTTGTAGCATGACGCTCGGCTGGCCGCGAACCGACCCGGTTCCGCTATGGCGCCTTTCATGCGAAAGGCGCGCAGAGCGATGGTTTACAAGTCGTGGACATTCATCAGTTGCGGTGGCGGCGCTGGAGTAGACTCCGTCTAATGTGGAGCCTACCGCCAATGTGTAACCCTGGCGCGCTCAACATAATAAAAATACCTGGCGACGCGTCTTGTCTTATCGGATGCGTATACAAATGTACCGACTTCCACAAAAAATATGGAAGTAGGTTTCGGGCCTGAGTACAGTGCTGTCGCACTTCTTCAGCTGTGTCAGGCCTGATCTTGGCAAACCATTAGGCTGTCAAAGTGATGATCGATGTCCAAAACAAAAAAAAGGTTTTTCGGATCGACCGTATGTGGGCCAAACGGCTTCCAGTGAAGCTGCCATCGCATGGCAGGACCGGAAAGTGGACTAGCGAGCCATGGCATGTGCTACAATGGCGTCGACGAAATGATTGACGGAGAGGTCAGGCTCTCGTGGTCGGTCATATACTGCCGCACGATATCCAGATCCAGTAACTTGGTAACAGAAAGCCAGAGACTGAGCACAAGACGCGAGCGTTACATTGACGAGAGAAACGCAAAAACGATCACATGTTGCTACGTTGACGTTGGTTGCGCGTTGCTATAGAAGCACAGGAAATACTACCCGCCACGTGAGCGATATGCAGAGTGCGACACTCAGACGGGTACACTAGGCTACATCGGACACTAGGGTGACAGCCGCGCTGTGATGCAGCCACGACGTAGGTGGTGATTCCGATCGTGTATTTCCATGATGTTAACTGCAGGCACGATCTCTGCATATTCCTAAGTCAGGGCATGAGAGCCGATTGACCCGTAGGAGCTGTATGGGGACGAGTCCGAGCATACAACTAAGCCGTCAATGATCGCACACCGACGACACGATGCATGTACACAGCATGGCACCGTAGGGGCCGTGAGCGCTTGTTTCGATTCTCCCTCTTCGCCATAGTGCGACGATTGCATGTGCACTAAGCCCAACGGCAGTATAGCCCACACTAGTGTCAGGACACCCATTGAGTGTACGGGACCTACTACAAGGTGCGATGTACTTCACGAAGCAGATCGATCTAGCCCAGCACCATCGTGGATACCCCACCGAGACGGCGGCCACGAGCGCGGTCAGACCACTTCAGTAGCGCGTTGCCACATCGACCATGCGTTTCAAGGGAACACCACCACACAAGCTTCGGTCCTTTAGATAGCCGCATGCACGACACATTAGGCCTTCTGTGCGCATCCGCCAAAGCGCTGACACCATCAGCCGAAAGTGCACATTCTGGAGATGTCGCGGGAACGATGTGTACGGAACAGATCCCCGCCTGCTTCTGCTCGCGGGAGGAAAATTGTCGCGTAGGGAGTGCTTGGACAAGAGGCGAGTACAGACACTGGCTTGAGTCGTCACGTAAAGTCTCAAAAATTGCAGCTACAACGTGATCAGCTGTCGCAGGAGGGGTCGAGATTTCTTGTGTACGGACAAGTGGCTTGCACTTGTGTGGTGAGTGCGGCACTATCCCAGCCACAACTTCGTGCGCTGATCGAGCACAAAGAAAACCCTGGTGCAACGACGTATGGTGCCGAAGGAAGATGTGTCCACCGATTCTTCTCGACTTTATCGAGCGGACGTCATCTGTGAGCCAACCAATTTTTATTCATCCTATCGGTAGGGGTTTGGTTGGCCGTACTTTGGCGGTGGTGCTGACCTACCTCGCTCCATTCAGTCTCGAGGAGGAAGCGAGTGAGCGGTTGATGCCTACTTTGTGGTTCTACGTCGCACACAGCTTGTCAGTCTGTGAAGAGTTACTCCATGTGTTTGACATGGACTCATCCTTTCCAAGGTTCCGGTCAAGCATTTTCTCCAGAAACAATCATCTGGGCTGGGTGTCACAAGGAGGACTCTGGATTCTGAGCGTAGAGGCGATGCACTACAGCTGGTTTTTGTCTCCAGCCGTTGTCCACCGCCTCGTATATTGATTTAACGACTAGAAAGGCGGCGCACTGTCACACCGACTCGAACGGTGTGGCGATCGTCATTTGCATAAAACGTACGTGTTAGGGGCTGAATCATCGGCGTTGCAGGTTCTCGGCGCGGTAGTATTGACTTATGTTTTCATCTAGCTACGAAGCAATCCGTGTTGCTTTTCCGATTATTGTTCAGTTGTAGCACAACTGCTCAGTCCAGTTGCGTCAGATGATTCTAGCTTGTGACCACGAAGATCTGTACAAATTGGGCAACGACAGACGCATATGTGTTGTTGTGTTGAGTCCGAGTAACTAACGATGAGCACAGAAGATCACGACTTATAATCACTGTGTATGCAATGTAAAGGCAGCACACACCAGCTTGATATACTTCAAGCTAGCATATCCAGCTGATTGCGGCACACAGATCCTAAACCTTGTTGAAGGTGCAACGTTTGGATTCGTGCGATGGTCCAGGCTTCCCGGTATCGGACAGGCCGTATGCCCTATCCTGTCGCTGCGCTGGACCATCGCTGCGGATGCGGCTCTTTCATTTATAAATGTTCAAAAGACGAGAGCTAGATCGTGCTGTTACGCTCGTAGTAACCATATACAACTGAACAGTGGATTTATGTTGATGCGGTGGGTTTATCGTCTTTACTGTATAGCCGGTATGCATGTCATCCGTTTGTCTCGAATGCTTGTGCAGCATCCTTGACTTGTAGGTGCTCACTCAATTCAGTCATTCTTCATCTCGCCAAGTCCAGCTCATTGCAGATTACCTCCGTCTTCGCCCAAGATGAACACCAAGATTGCGCTTTTGACCGTTATCGCTACTGTCATAGTTAGCTCAGCTCTCAGCCAGCGTGGAGACCAGCCTCGCGACGCCTGTATTGAACAGTGTAGAGTTGATGATATTCAGTGCGGTTGTCTCGAGAAGGATAAATCCATCGAATGGTTGGCTTGCCTCAATGACTATTGCGCGAAAAGAGGACACTGATGCGAGGATAGCAAGATCAAGGTACTCGCAATTGGTGGGCGAAGAATGGCGCGGGCAACTCTGCGGACCTCACACAAGTGCACTAGCCGGAGGTGGACGTAGCATATAGCGTTGACTGCGTTAAATACCAACAAGTTGTCGTTCTGCTTGATCTTGTTTAAACTTATCATTTTTGCGTCTCGTGTAATTCCGCGGCAATAACAGCACTAGCATCTCGTATATTACCCGAGGGCATCTATTGTGCAAAAGAACATCTCCTATTGTGCAAAAGATCACCTTATATTTTCAAAAGAACGTCGTTGCGACAGAGGAAACTGTGCTGCAGATCACACCTTCTATGGCCACAGCAAAAGTCTTGTTTAGCTCGGCCAGATATACCAAGTATAAGTACGTAGCCGTAGAGTTGCGTTTTGCGGGGTCGTGATTGTGTCGTACTGCGTGGCTGGACCAGTTGAAATTCTTTGCACTGTAATGGGAGATGTAAATATTGATGAAGGCGCTTGAAAGTAGTAGCCAGCGTCTGACAGTCATCAAGCCTTGTCTGCATTTTTGAACGTCGATCATCATACAAGTCGATAACACGAGGGAAAAGAGGGTTAGCAGTACGAAGCAAAAGATTACAAAAAAGATTATGCACTACAGAGGTACAACATATGATCGAATGTGCACACGCGAAAGATGACTTACACATTTCTAATGGTATCGAGAGGGGTGCAAAAGTGCTGTAAAACTTAGTTAAAACACCAATCCTGGCAGTTCGCTGCATCGATCCGAAAATTTATTTATACGCCATTGCCTTTGCCACAGGGCGCCCATAACCTCAGAAAGCGAGCATCGATGTTAAGTGTGGTCACAGATTGGACAATGCAGAGCGAGCGCTCTGGGCTTTTCGACAGAGTGCAGCGCTTGCTCCAGCAGCGAATCCCGCCAGGCACTTCTACCTGTCGCAGCTCGTCACGGGCGAGGAGGCTGAGCAGTATATGCTGTAAGGAATCACGTGCTTGCAGCAAGAACTGCAGCAACAGGTGGACTCGAGCGCGCCCGAGGCGCTGATTGTCAAGAAACAGATCTGCGATGCCTTTTGCTCGCTGGGTGAGCTCTACTGACGGACTTGTGCGACCACGAGGAGGCTGAACGTCGCTGTGAGTCGTACTTCCAGCAAGCCATGACGTTTGGACGTGGGGCTGCCAGAGCCAACGCAGGCACTGGCCAACTTGCGACTGGTGCAGCAGAACAAAGAGGCTGCAGAGGAGCTACTGGAGGAGACCTATCGGCGTCTGACTGAGCACTGTACCGAGGAGAGTTTTCCGTCGCTCGAGTTCCGCACGGCCACGGGTAAGATGCTGATTGAGGTCGAGCGGTATGAACAGGCGTGCGACGTGCTGGAAGGAGTGATGCAGGAAGACGACGAGAACGCCGAGCTCTGGTTCCTCGTGGCGACGTGCTATCGTGCGATGGACGACTTGCCAAACGCTCTCGAGTTCTTCGAAAAGTGCCGCCGGATGCTGACAAAAATGAAGAAAGAGCTGCGACACGACTTCTACCTGGACGATCAGCTTGAGAGTGTGGTCGAAAGCATTGACAAACTGAAGATTCTGATTGCAGACCGACCGCTGGAGCTCGACGAGGAAAGTGACAGCGACGAGGACCGACGAGGAAAGCGACAGCGGCGGGAGACGACAGTGGTGATGCAAAGTCAGTCGGACAGCAGGACGTGGAAATGAAGGAATGAGCACCAGGTGCAAGTTGTGCACGATAGATTTTACACAGACAAGTTGATGTTCGATATGCCGTGTTCGTCTCAATCCTTTACACGCTTACGGTTGCAGTAGCACGCGCTTCATTCGTACGTATTCTAGTCATGTCCACGCCATCCCAAACATCATCACCATGTCAAACACAGTCGAGACCTGAGTGCTTATTGTCAGGTGCTCATGCGTTCGGAATCGTACTTTCGTTTTTGGCTCACGAGCTGCATCTCGTAAGACTGAAAGAACAGGTCTGTCGTTCAAGATGAAGGATATGTACGCGCGAAACGTAAACAAACGCTTCAGTTCCGTGATGCCAGTCGCTACTTTCCAGAGATAGTGCTTCGTTACAATCAGACCAGACCATGCACATCGGCCAGGTCACTCATGTTTATGCTGATTGCCACAGATGGGAGC